AGGCAGGTCAACTTCTGCGTTGGGTTTATCTCGGCTCATGACTTTGAGCTGTCTGCTTGCCTCTGAATTGGTTTCTATTTCTGCTGTTCACCAATATTTATTGGATGTTTGTCATGTGGGTTTTGCTGACCTCTTCACTTTATTGTGTGTATTTACACTAACAATACTTCAAAATCTGAGGATGTTTCTCTTCCCAGTCAAGATGCTTTCCTGACCCACAATCCTAACATGTGAGTACCTCACACGTGTTAACTATCAGCACAACAGCTCAATAAAACTTCAGGATTCTTATTCCAGAAATCAGAAATTAGGAAGAATTCAAATTGTTTCCTTGATGTCAGGAAGAAAAAGCTGCCAGCCAGGAGCTGAGGGTCAGTGTGTGCTATCCAGAAGATCTTCAGCAAACAAGAGGAGCTGCAACACGAAGCACTGATGGAAGGTACATAGAATGGTGTGGGTTGGAAGGGACCTTAAAGATCATCTTGCTCCAACTTGAACACCTTCCACTAGACCAGGTTGCTCCAAGCCCCATCCAACCTGCCCTTGAACACTTCCAGGGATCCAGGGGCAGCCACAGCTTCTCTGGGCAACCTGTTCCAGGGCCTCACCACCCTCACAGTCAATAATCTCATCCTAATATTTCATCTTACCCTGCCCTCTGGCAGTCAAAGCCCCTCGTTCTATCATCCCACACCCCTGAAGTTTGAGTATTCCTATGTGTCTTCCTCAGGACTGGGATTTCCAAAGCTTTGGAAATACCACAGTGGAAGGTGAGGTGGGGATCAGAGTCTGCAGGCAGCGAGTTTGATTATTGATAAGGTCAGCCCGAGCTCAGGCTTTACTGATGTACTTCATAAATCTTTTGTACTCCCTTCTTAAGCCCACAGTGTCTGCCCCGTGCGTCCTTGTAGAGGAGGTGATTTAGTGCTGTGTGTGTTCTCTCAAGGTGCAAGACTCCACTCAGGTCTCCAGTGCTCCCAGACAAGCAGGAGAGCTGGGCTGTACCAACAATGGATTCTTCTGCCGCATTTTTACTGGCAGGATGTTTCCCTTTGCAGAAGATTGGCACGTAAAGGCCACATTCCCTGGGTGGGCAGAGCTTCTAGGAGTCTGACCATAAGGAAAACACACAAAGTCTGAGCGTCCTGATTCCTTGCACGCAGTGAAGAACAAAAGCACTTTGGCCCAGAACCACCCAAAATCACTTGAACTCACGTGCCTACAGGGACCCAAGAAAACAGCTTGGAGATGGGGTGGGGGTAACCCAGATATTAGGAAAATATTAAATATTAGGAAAAGGTTCTTCCCCCAGAGGGTGGTTGGGCACTGGAAGAGGTTCCCCAGGGAAGTGGTCACGAGCCCAGGGCTGACAGAGCTAAGAAGCATTTGGACAATGTCCCTATAATCATTGTCACAGTCACCTGAGATGCAGTAAGTGTGATTTTGTGGTGTTCAAAGGAGGATCAAAGTGTATCTAATAAAGTCAAGCAGCAGCTGATCCTGCATGCTACACGGATGAAGAGAAGGCAAGGAACAGCTATGGTGTTGCATTCAGGCACCTACACAACACTAAATGGGGCTTGGAATGGCAAAAATACTGGGCAGAATAGTTATTCCTCAAGTGTGGCTGCTCCTGCAGGAGCAGGTGGAGAGGCCTGGGTGATCAGAAAGAGCACAAACCTTCGATATTGAGTAAGAAGTTGCAGGACCAATATGGAAATCAGACCTTTTTGGGGTTTGGTTTTTAGTTTTTTTGGGGTTTTTGTTTGTTTGTTTGTTTTGGGGGCTTTTTTTGTTTTGTTTTGGGGTTGGTTTTTTGTTTGGTTTTTTTTTTGTTTTTTTTTTTTTTTTTTTTTTTTTTTTGAGAAATCTGTAAATAGACTAAAAGGGGGAATAATGTCACTGTGTAACACTAGTTGTTCCAGCTTTTCTGAGAACTCCCTGGTCTCCTTGTTTTCCCAAGCATGGTGTTCCCAGTCACTTATCCATACAGTGCTCCTAAGAAGGATGTTGCATTCCTGGGAGATGAGATCACTCCAGGACTGGTCTAAGGGAAAGGACTTTGTAGACTAAGGATGCAGAAGTTCTGAGATGTTTTGCTCTCAAGTCCTGGGGCAACCCGAGGTGAGTCACCACATCCTTCAGGACCTTGCTTTTCCTTAGCAGAGCAGAGATAGACTTTCTTTGGTTTCTCTAAGTTTTTTTCTCTTTTTTTTTCTTTTTTCCTGCATTTTGCACAATAGAGAGCTGGGAACACAGTAAATAAAAGAATGAAACAAGAAACCCATTAAGGAGGGAAAGGGAAATTCAGGAAGTACGACCTTGGGCACACACTGGACTGAAGATTTTCAAATTGGCATCACTATCAAAAGCAGTAACAGTAACAAAAGCTGTAATTAATTCTTTTGCTCTTGAATTAGCCAGAGCTGCTGGAATGTGCCATAACATTGGACAGGACAGAAACCTGCACTGCCACCAAGTGTGAACTGGTGCATTGAACAGGTCAGTTTAACATGTCTGTGCTGGTTGGGTGCACGAAGAAAATCAAATAACAGGCAAAACCCTGGTGTAGAACCACTTCAACTGTCATAACATCCCATCTCTAGGGGGTGACACCACAGGTGAGAGACAATTACCAACTCTCTGCCACCTTCTCCTGGGGTGCAGGAGAGGGCTGAGGCATTTTGTGATGGACATGTGAGCTTGTCAGGAGACATGAACTTCAGGAACAAGGAGACAGACCCATTTGCTAGGTCAGCTGGGCCCCAGACAGGACAACCCTCTGGAAAAACTCTGATTGAACATCCTATACCTTGCTTTAAGAATATGCTTCTCCTCGCAGCCCATTCTATATCACAAAGTGATTTTTCAGCCCATCTGTTTAGTGATTAGGAAATGCTGCTGATAGAGAGGGCTCTGCCAAAAGCATGAACCGAGTGCCACAGTGCAGACAGACCTTTCCTGTGTTCCACCACAAATCTCCTCCTGTCCTGGTGCTCTCTTGGCTGAATTACTCCGTGGTTTTAGACCTGCAGCTCGGAAAGGTGCATCCTGCCATTGCAGCATCACCCAGGCCCGAGTCCTCGTGGTGTGATAGAGCTGAGCAGGCTCTGGGCACACCAAAACTGTTTCTCTCCCCGTGTGCTCAGGTGCCTGCCCATGATCTTGCCAAAGCTGGTGGGAGAATGATGCCCCTTGGACACCAGCCAGGCACCAGGTTGCCTTTGCTGTGTCCTGCTGCACAGATGACTGAACTCCACGGATCCGTGTGGATCTGTGGTCCTTGGCATTGTGCTGGTTTTCAGGGAAGAAGAGGAGTGGAGCATCTCCTGAGGGAGGGCCAGCAGATTGCCCAGACGTGCTGCCTGAATGGGTCCAGCTGACACCTCAATGTGCTCCACACTGCAAGGCCTCTCCTCTCAGGAAAAGCTTTTCCTGTGCTGTGAGGATACCTGTTTAGGGGCAGACAGTTATTACCAAAGTGGCAGTAGTTCACATCCACAGATCCTGGGGTTTGTAGCATGGAGAGCACTTCATTCCCTTTATGCTGATCTTTTCCATCTGCTTTTTACTGCCTGCAAGGTATTCCCATGTGAAAGGTAGCCCGAGCCTGCCGTTTCCAAGTCTCTTCCAAAAATTATGTCAGGCATGAGCATTTTATCATTAAGGGCACTAATACTTTGCACATACACAAAATTTGTCTTCTGATTATCCCCAGCTTGTATTACAATGCATTTTGTAGGCGCTTAGCCAAACCTTTTACCTTCAGTCAGATATATGACCTGCTGTCTTGGAGAGGCTGGTCCAAAGCCTGTTAGATCAGGGCAAACCTTTATGCTGGTTTAGCAGAACTTGGATCAGTCCCTAGAGGCATCACAGACGATCTGAATTATCAGAAGTGATCCCAGGCAAGTTGCAAGTAGGCAGAGATCAGTTTGCAACTGCCAAGGTATCTGAAGAAGTTGGATCAGGTTGTTTCAAATCATCTGATGAGAATTAGCTCAACTCAGTCAAATCACAAGGCAGTTGGATATTCAATCTAGACTGGATGGAACAGGTTTATGGGCTAGATGGAAAGTTGAATATACTAGAAGAAAAGCAAACAAGGAAACAAACAAGCAAGATGATCCATTAGCTGTAAAATGCAACTAAACAAGTTTCTGAATAAAACCAGGGAGCGTATATTTTCCGTTTTCCTAGAGTGATGTATTTTCAGCTATGCAGATTTTTTAAATGACACTGAATGTCTTTCCAAAGGAGGCACTTTACACCTTCATTCTGTCCTTACTGGTTTTTACGACCTCTGCTTTGCAAAACAACCTCAGCCTTGCAAAATCTGACTTAGTTGACCACAATTATTCCTTCTTAGCCTAAAATATTCAACTTACCAAAGTCTGAAGGCAGTGAGTCCAACTTTAGAAATAGGTAAAGCTCCTGTTTCTAGTAGAGAAAAATTTTGCTGGTACTGACCAAGTGCTTACAGAGCACTCCACATGTACCTGGACATGGAATATGGGTTGAGCCAGTTTGTCAGTGAACCTGTTCATGAGTCTCGCTGCAGCTGCAACTTGTAAGAACCCTCAAGCCATTAATATTCCTGCTAGAAATTTAGCCCAGCTAAAGGGTAGGTGATTGGCTAGATGAATTCATCATATCCAAATCATCCTACCTCAGTATAATTTTTTTTTTATGCAAACAACCGTGATTACTCCCATGTCTTTCATCCTGCCTGCTCCAAATCTGCTCTTTGTGTCACCAGATATCAGTTGGAAAAGGGTGACTTGCCCATGTATTCCTGCACTTTTTATAGGGAATTTGAAACCCAGGAAGATTTACAGCAAGGTCATCTCTACCCTGAAGCAATATTTAAATGGTATCAGGTTTAATTCCTTCATCTTCCCACCTTCCTCAACCCTGGACCCAAATTTCCTGTGTAATTTGTGGCCCACTGATTTATGTGGCCCAACCACATCTCTGCTATACCAGTTAAATCAGCTCACCTCTTGCCAAGTTAAATACTGTAGTTTTCCCATGTTTGGTGGTGAATTCCTGGAATTAGCACAGATCCATGTGGCATTTGATGGCTGGTGGATGCTTTGCTCCTTGTCCCACTCCGGTGAAGCCCTACATCTACTTGGAGAGGTGCCTCTCTCTTATTATTCCTTATTGTTCTGGCCACTGGAAATTCAGTACTTCCCTACAAATCCTTCTCATCTACATCCTCCCAAACCTTACAGCCACCTACAGCGCTTGTGGTATGAAATAAATACTCAGAAGTTTTCCCAGGTGGTTTCTTCACTTCAGCTGCATTCCCTCAAAATGGAGGCTGAGGGGACCAAGGCAGAGCAAATGACAGGGAGCAGGACTGCAAGAGCAATCCAGGGGATCAGGCCAGAGGTCTCACTCATCCAGTATCCTGTCTCTGGAAGTGACCAAAACCTCTACAAGCCTGTGGAAGGGTATGAGATTTATACGACGGCCCCTAAGAACCTACTCAGCTCCCTAATATTTGTGGATCAGGGACTTTCTGAGCCAGACATGACTGCCTGTAGTTCCCTTTGGTGGATTTCTGCTCCATGAACACATCTGTGTGATCCCCCCTCTGCAATCCACCCACTGGTCTTGAGACATGAGTGCCCCTCTCCACGTTGGTGATGGTGAGAGGTGGAAAAGCTCTTCACCACTGCGCTCTTCATTTACAGGCTGGCCAAAATTCATGCCCTCTCCATCAATCCTCCTTTCCACAGCAATTTCCCAAGTGTCTAATAAAGTTAAATCACATCCATTCTTCACCACCACGTATTGGCATCTCCCCTGCGTTTCAGAGGGAGCTGCTATGAAGGGACTTCCTTCCTTCTCCCCTCTCCTCCCTCCTCCAGCTCTTCCCATCCTTTGCAATAACGAGCCCTGCAGTAATCACCACGTATTCACCCCACCCCTGCGGGCTCTTTGCAGGAAATCTGACCTCCCCCCTCTTTATGCAACAACTGAGGCACTTATCTCTCTCTCCCCTTCCCTTCTGACCATCTGTGTGCATCCAGCAGCAGCAGTGCCACGCACTCACTCGCTCTCCCACCAACTCAACCTAAGCCCCTTCCATCTGGAGATGATCTGTTTGTCTATTTAGACTCCAAGCTCTCCAGGGCAGGAACTGTCTCTAATTGCATGTTTGTACCGTACCTACAGCTGTGTTGGACTGAATACACCCACTGTCATCTTCCCTTGGAAACTAAGTGCCTCCTGGGAGTGTCCAGCACTTGAAAAGTAAGACCACTTGGAAATCCAAGTTGCTGGAGGCACATGCCAGAGTTCCTTGGTTGCACTTATATTAGACCACAGAAAATCCTTCCAATGACTGCAATAATCATCCAGCCCAATTTTTGCTGCCAAGCTGACAAGAAGGACTTAAAAGCAGCGAAACTATTGCTTAGCATGGTGGGGCTCACAGCTGGCTGAAGCTCCAAATGTGCCTAAATTATACTGTATCTCACCAGGGAAATGCCTGAGGACCCCAGATTTGACGGTGCCTTGTTTGGTGACCTCTGGCCAATGCCACCAGGGATCCAGGTGGAGAGACCAGGAGTGTCCCAGCCGGACTTTGCAGTCTGAGTTTGTCTCATCCTCACTCCAGCACAGCAGGATGAGCTCATGTGCCCATACCTACTGCTCACAGCTGGCAAATAACCTCCCTATTTCAGGATGACGAAGACTTCAGGTGATTTTCTTCACCAAAAATGCAAAAATTAATTGCTTTTCTCCCCTTGCTTTTCAACAGTTTTAATTAAAAACCTTCTGTAATTGTGTTAAGGCCTCTGAGCTATGGTTTTCATGCCACCCCTGCTCATAACACATTTTTCAAGCTGTGTATGTTGAGAGAAACAGGGCAGGTGGTAGAAAGTGGAGGTGTTGTCACCAAAATAACTTTAAAACAAAGAAAAGAAATAAGCTTAATAAAGTTTCTGGTCTAATCCAAGAGAAAAATGTATTACCACCAAAAGCCTCCTGCAGATGGTGAAAAGTATCTCGATTCAATAACACAATAAACCTAAAAAAGCGCATCTATATATTTTCCCATTTGGTTCACTCCGGAACACCGTTCCTGCTTGTCTTGGCTCCTCTCTATTCCTGCCTCTGAGTGTAAAGAAATGGTAAGGAAGTTTATGAATGAGGTCCCGCTTGCATTCCAGGCTCCGCTGTGCACACACAGGCTGTTCTCTGCCGAGATCCTGGGATGAGGTCATTCCAAAACCACCTAGTTTGCCCAGTGTGCTAACTCGAAAAAGATTGAAACGGACAGATTTGCAGTTGCTGCAATGCAAACACACATACAGTAGTTTTTTTTCCCCCCCCCCCATGCCAGCATCCGTCCAGAGGACTCCTGGAAAAAAAAGAAAAGAAGAAAAAAAACCAGAAAAAAACCCCAAACCAATCCTTTTTTTCCCGCTATGAAAGGCTGTTTATAAAATCAGTTTGATCAGCTCGGGAATGAGCTGAGATAATGTTTATCCACACAAACACCGAAGATCGCGGGACTATCTCAACATAGCAAGCTAAGATAACTACTCAGCTGAAAAAGAAAAAAAGGGTTAGAACAACAGGAAATTGCTCATTTACTACCAGTTTCTCAGGTATTTTAAAGAGCTTCCAGAACGTTTGCTTTTGTGTACCTAAGAGAAAAAAGCCGCTGGTGGTGGGGGTAACATAAAACATAAAAGTGACTTTCCTTGCTGAAAGAGTAAAGGCAAGAAGAAGGGGGTTTGTGACAAGAGGATATAAAATACCCTGCGATTCATCAGCAAGGAGAATCAAACTCAGCCGGAGCGATCGGCATTCCTGGGGATTATGAAAAGGATTACGGTGAGTTGTAAGCAGGGCGAGGGAGCCACTGAAAGATGGGCTTTCCTACTGCCTTGAAATAAATGGGACAATTAAGGCTTTTGGGGAAGTTAATGAGACTTTTTTTTCCTTGAATTTTCAGAGCAGCTGGCCAGCCCCTGTGTAGGAAAAGCCTTTTTTTTTTTTTTTTTTTTTATGAGGAGGAAAGAAAAATAGGCAGTGAAAATAAAAATGTTTGCATTCCCTAAAAATATACTTCAAGCCTTCCGAGGGGGAAATCAATTATCCACAAGGCCATCCTGCTGTCGGGTAGAAAAATCTAAGGCATTTTCTAGCTCGGCTGCCCTCCACTATTTGGAGGTTTGCTGATCTCTCTGTCAGATGGGTCTCATCATGGTGCCTCCGAGTCTTTCATGTGTTTAATCTCACAACCCACCTGTGAGAAGAGGAATTACAGTGGAGGAACTGAGGAAAAGGCCCAGACTTTTAAAGGGATTTAGCTGCCCAATTACCTGGCTCAGGGTTAGACTGGAAATCCCCAGGAGAGAAGGATGTTGCACCTGAGCCTGCCAAGCCTTGGGTTAGTGCAGTTCTCAGTAGCAATGCCCATTTGGACCCAGGACAAGGGAGAGCCAAGTGCACCCATGAATGGGGCCATTGTTTCTGCCTTGATTATTATTAAGATATATTTTGAGTCTGAAAGAAAATAATTAAATAATCAGAGTCTGAATTCAGAGCATGAAGACCAGTTTTTTTTTTTTTCTGAGGCTGAGCAGGGTCTTGCAGATTTGGTGCTTGTATTTATTCCAAGGGAAATGACTTACAATTAACCTCCAAGAGCCATGAATTAGTAGTGCTCCCTTCTGAGTCACAATTTTGCTGCCTCTTCATGCACCAACACCACTCGCTGCTCACCCACCCCACACCTCTCTGAGCTGGGTAGAGCCCTGCTAAGAGAGTCAGCACAGAATATGTGCAGGAAAGAAAACAGCCTAGTTTCTCTCTAATTGAGACATTTCCCCCGTGTGAGGCTTCCTGTCCTATTTCTCCTTGCTTTTCCTCGTGCCTGTCTTTCCACGGGCTCTCAGCTCAGGCTTGGCAGGTCATGATGCACCTGGGTGAGGACATGGCCCCCTGAGCAGCTGAATTTGGACACAGTCCCCACCATGCCCCCTGGAGATGTATCTTAGGCTGGGTTTTAATCCTAATGTTGGAGGCTGTGAGTGCAGCAGGTGAGGTTTTACCACCCGAGCTCTGTGGTCCCACACAGCACGTGCTGGAGGAAGGGGTCAGGGACATGTAGGAGTCTGGCCTGGAAGACCAGATTACTCACACAGTGACATTTCCTTGAGTATTCATCCATTCTCCATGGGTGATTCTCTGGCACATGCAAACAGCCACCACGACCATCTTTGGCTTCTGCAGAGGATGATCAGCTGTGTGACAGCCCGAGGTCACAATGTGACTCTGGAGGTCTCTGAGCCCCTGGCAGGAGGCAGAACAGGGAACCACATCCTCTGTGATCCCTTCCTTTGTAGGGTGATTATGGTAAAAAATGCAGATAGAAAAGGAGAGGTGACAAATAACAGAGAGCTACTGGCATGGTACGTGCACCTGCTTGGGTGTGAAGATGCACTTTTGGTTTTAATTGTTATAAATCATCATTCATTCATTCATCAGGAAGTCTCCGCATCACTTTTTCTCTGTCATGGCTTGACCCAGAAAACACATTTCACTGTAAAGGAGTTCCAAGGCAAAATCCCAGAATTCTCTAGATCCTATTTTATAAGTCAGTTTTCCCTGTGAAGGGCTGCCATGGGTGTTGCATTTTGACTCCTTGCCATGGCTTTGCTCTCGGCTTCCGGTAAAAGCCATAAACCCCCTCCAAATTCCCTCAATCTGCAAAACTGCCTGACACAGAGCAATCAGTGTCTTATAAACCCACACTGGTATCGAAGCAGTTCCCTTCCCATGCACTGTTTCTTATTAAAGAGGTATCTGTCGGCCGGTCACACGGGCTCTGTTGCATAGCCAGGTATCCAGGCAACTTACTCAAAACTTGCCGGAGTCCATGGAAAGAGTCTGCTGGCCCTGCACCACCAGGGGCTTTAAAACGAGGTTGAACACTTTGTTAGGAACCAGCAGGATTCTCCATAGTGTGTCAACTGCTTGCAGGTGGATGGAGCAGGGACTAAAGAGGAAAGGCATTAAGAAAGGAGAGAAAAAGGGGTGATGGTTTCAAACTAAAAGAGGGTCGATAGAGGTGAGGTATAAGGAAGAAATTTTTTGCTGTAAGGGTGGTGAGGCACTGGCAGAGGTTTCCCAGAGAGCTGGTGGATGCCCCATTTAATGTCAGGTTGGATGGGGCTCTGAGCATCCCGGTCTAGTTGAAGAAGACCCTGCTCATCGCAGGGGGTGGAACGAGGTGGCCTTTCAAGGTCGCTTCCAACCCAAACCATTCTGTGATTCGGTGA